AATAATGCTATTTATGCTATCTATGCACCATGCTAGACAGTATGCACTGGATCGTGAATACCCCTATTGTGATAAGGCCGCTAAAGTAGATTATAGGGCCCTAGCTTGTGCAAATATGTATTGACATTATTTACATGTATGTATGTATGTATGTTTGGTTAAATGCAAACAACTTCGTTGGTACGTTGTGGGTGGTGTAACTTTATTCTACAATGGCCCTCGTCAATACACTCGCGAGAATATTTCATAAATACCCGCACCTTACCTACATAACTATGCTATATTTATAAATTGATAATATGCTATATTTAGAACATGAAAAACTCAAACGTTTATGCGTTGCACTACTGACTAGTTATATGTTTACTCGTGGCTGGCTTTAAGCGAAAAAAAAGAGTATCGCATAGTTGTGCATACAATACATATTTCTTTCATTCCTCAAACTCTATGTATGTATGTTGTAGTATGTAAGTAGCTCATCAAAAGAGCAAACTAGTATTGCTCGGTTTAACGTCGGTCTCACTGAGACCATTTAAGCAACTGTCGACTCCAGAGTCCATTTGTTCGCTCGATCTCCGCTGCGCTATTTCAGCATTTGGACTGTTTTCATAGTCAGTAGCGATATTACTAAGATTGTCCTTCTCGTAAAGTGGATTCATTACGAAATCTTTGGTCGTCGCCGAAGCGGCACGAAAACTGTCGCGTTTGAGATCTTTGTGGAGCAATTGCTTCTCGAATTGTGACCAAATATGACTCGATGGTAGCGTGCGCGTTTTAGTCGCTAACGAGATTCCCGACGCACCACTACCACCTCGGTAAAAACTAAGTGAGGAGTGGGCACGACGCTTAGGAAGCGTAGCAGGATAGTTGGCAGCAGCGCTGGCACTTCTCCAGGACCGTTGCGAACGTATGTCGTCACTGTAATTGTCTATGTCATTGTAATTGTCCGCGTCTACATTGCCGGTATCTTCGTATTCGCTATGTCTGTTAATGTTGCGACGTCGATTCGTGTTTCTGGAGCTGTCGTTGCCGCAGTAGTCTTTAAAGTGTATGCGGTCCGAACTTTCGTAATGGGATGCTGAGGTGAATGATCGTGGTGGTAAATGTGCTTGATTATAAGTGGAAGTGGAAGTGGAGGTTGCATTTGCTGTGAGATTGTAATGTGATTCTGATGGTGAGCGACGGCTAATGAATTTTAGGGAGCTGCTACGATGCACTGGAGTGGTGGAAAGGGTCCAATGAGAGTCGCTATGATCAGTATACAGCGGGATACTCTTATATGTATTTTTGGTGTGGCAATTTACCTCATTGATGGCTATGTCTGCTGTGGGTTCGTCACTGATATTCGGACTCGGTCGACTACCGTCTGTAGCGACAATTTGGTGTTTCGGACTAGTTTTCGACACTTTATCATCATTGATGTAGTAGTCGCGGCTGTATCTGATCACAAAAGTTTTAATTGTATA